GTGACCTTATCACATAATTACAAATACGACACAACTAACTAATAAGTGGTCCATTCATGTTTTGTAAAATTGTATGAAGTTATAAACAATGATTGACGAAAAGCTTTTGTTATCTAACACAGCGTAAACATAGTCGCGGTTATGAAGATGACGGTGAACGTGCGTGCAACAGGATGCGGGAGGGTGGGTACGCATGCGTGCGGACGGGCGAGCGCGCGGCTCCTGACTACGGCAGGGCTCAGCCAGCTCGCCTCTCCAGGATACTAACACGAAATCCCAAACACTCCCGACATTCGGGCGCACGCCCCCCGCCGGGACTGCGGGAATGAAATACGAAAGGGCGAGCCGGTACGGTGCGGTACCTAAATGCCGCGAAGAATTTCATGCGTTCCACAGATATTTTGGACTTCGATTGAAGTGCCTACACATAAATAAAATATGTTGACAATGTTGGCATACTTGTAATATAAATAAATTAACATGCAAAGGGGTTTGTTTGTTCTCAAAGCAATATGGGTTTTATAGCCAATGTAGCAGCTGGAAATAAACTACTCAGTATATAATATCTAATCATAAAAAGTTTGTCTTTTCATAAATAAATAGCAACAAAACAGTCAACGACAACTGTAACAATATCTAAGCCGCATACGATCCTCTTCCTCCGACAAATTCAGAGCAATTTACGTTTTGTGCTATTTCAAGTGACCTCATCAATTAATTTACTTTATCGACGGTGAATGCGTTAATTAGACTAAATTTGTATTTACGTAAGCCTTTGAGGCCATCATTGCTAAACATAGATAAATCTTTTTATCTTACCTTATGAGGTAGATACACAATACTTATTTATTATATAGTACACTAGCAACCCGCCATTTATCCATTACTAGCTAGTCTCGCGCGGTTTCACCCGCTGCTCGGCTCCATTTGATCGTAGCGTGATGTTTTATAGCCTATAGCACTCAGGAACATTGTAGCTATCTATTAGAGAATTTTGGAAATCCGACCAGCTGTTCCAAAGATTACCCCCTACATACAAACTTACAAATTTTACCTCTTTATAATATTAATATAGATTTAATGGATAACACAACAACTAAGTCTGTGTAGTGATACCTTATACTATCTACTCGCGCTGACTCCAGCTTTAAAGTACTTGTAATAATTATAAGTAATTACAAGTTGTTTTGACCTGATTGATCTTATTTATCTATTAGCTATGCCGTATAATCAAAGTAATTCTCAATTAGTATATTGCTAGTAATAAATAGGTACCTAAACTATCTAAGAGCTGTTTACCGACACGGTATAGAGCTCTCAGATATTATAAAACTAGTACCTACATACGTATTTAAGCAGAATCATCTTCCTTCGTGTAAAAGAAGTCTTCTTATTAGGGCCACTGTCGAAAATAGGTAACATATTGGCACCCTTTTAATAATTAACTTAAACTATGCATTAAGTTTCTCCTTTGAATTTTTTATACTAAATTATTATGTCATATTGTGCACCAAGTATAGATAGGTACTAGTGTGAAACTCACGGTAATAACCACTATTTTGTTTTTGTATAGGGAATATTATCAAATGACTTCTCTCCCAGGAGTGTCAAATCCTTACTGACTCCTTTTCCGGCTCCAGGCCGACGTCGCGGAACCTTATTCTACATCGCGGTATATGAGTTCTTTACACAATTAGAACCGATACAAAAATCCCGACAACAACAGTCGGGCAGTAGCCTACCAGACATCAGCGACCCCGCCTAAGCATTGGCCATGTTTGGGCCTATCTGTGGTGGTCTACTAGCTCTTACTCTCACCTGGAGTTGTTATACATATAATTAAAGTACTTCTATACGCGTAAATAACGCCGCCTTAAAGCGATTTCTTCCAACGAATATCCGAATTGTGTACGAGATATTTAGACCCGGTAGATATTTTTTCGGTTTCGGATCGGACTCGGTCCAGACGTAGCGCTCTTAGAGTATTAATAACTTCAACAATGCATTAGTGATCAATTTCACTTATTGGGTATGCAAATAACGTGTCGGTTTTTATTTGAAAGCACAGGTCAAAAAATTATAAAAGTTGAGGAATTCCATTTTGTTAAATAAATACTAATTTTGTTAAATAAAAGATACTTACCTACACACAATTAATTTCACTCTAAGGCATCGTAAGGAAGAATTTGGGATAACAGTTTATTACCAGGGTTTTTAGGGCATGCCCTTCAAGACACCCTGAACGACCCGCACCGAAATAAATTAGAAGATGTTATTAGAGGAAAATAAAATGAAAATTACGTATTCCTGTATTTTAAATGCAACTATTACTGCCACACCTTTAAGGAATAATTAACAGTAGGTTTTTAAAATAAATATAAACTGACTTGACTTACCCCCGGTATAGCTAACAGAGACTGCTCCTTATTTCGAAACCATCGCACCCAATTCATTGTCTCTATAACACTGAAGCTATTAAAAACGAATACTAAACTGACTGTTATAAACACGATAATTAACCAAGTAGTTGTAGCTGATAATTGCTCTATCATATTAGTATATTCGTTATGTAGTAAAGGAAAATCGGTTCGAATGGATAACTCGGAAGACTATTGCGTTCGACGTGGATTGTACAGATAAAATGACCTATCTACGTTACCTACCAGAGCGCACAGTCTGTTCAACGCGTTCGGCAGTTGTTAATTGCCTACAATTACCTATGTGTGAATTTCCTCCCTGTTATGAATTTCAATGAGTAAATGTAACCTTGGGATATTAGTTATTAGGTAGGTACATTAGTTTTGCAGGGACATGGATCATCACTATCATCGTCACCAGCCTTTAGGTATAGGTAACAGTCTACTACAGGCCAAAAGGCTCTCCCCATACACAGAAAATGTTGAGCATTAATCACCATCCTTGCTTGAGGCGTAGGTATTTATGGTTTCAAACTAACAGCTACAAATATAGTCCAGATTTCTTTTCTTCGTTTCTTGACTTCATTGTGTGGCAGTGTTGATCAATTAATCTTAGAGAGTACCTACCTACTTACAAACTACTCAGAAAAAGGTACTCTCAAACTACTCTCTACTTGCCAGGTAATTACTTATGGAATGTTTGCTTTAAAGGGAAAAATTGTGATTAAATGTTGTATTAGAAAAACCATACATAACTCCCAGAATTCCGGGAGATGTTGATTGAGATAGTCACCGTACCGTGACAGATGAGAGCAAAAAAGATGATGATCAGACAGACCCCAGCCTGCAAAACAATGGGATTTCCCTAAACCCACACGATGACACAGTGGCCTATTAAGGAGAGTCAATAATATTAGATGGTTTACACGATTTTGAGAATGTCTTAAACAATGCATTTATAATTACATACTCACTAGATTAACAGAACGTTCTTCAATGAATTTATATCTCTATCTATGCCTCACTGTAAACTAAAAACTCAAATAGTTTAAAGGACCTGGCACGCTGTTGTAGCAGCGGTAAGAGCTCTTTGAGAAGTGGCTTGGGAGACGCCACGGTGTCCTCACCTTCCGCCTGTCGCAGGTGCTTACCTGCACGCTGCGTGAGTCCTTTAAACTATTTTTCTTTTGTGAGGAAAATCGTCTAGTGACTTCTCACGACCAGGGTAAAGCGAAAGGGAGTGTCAGACTCTTACAAACTAAAAACCTCCATGTTCTTTGTCCTTCTCCACGCCGAGGCCGCGGTACCTTATTGCGCTTGACCTCCGACCTCCGCTAAGCGTTGGACATGTTGGGCCAGAACTGTGGTGGTCTATTGGCTCTTTGAGGTAGGTACGTACCTACCTACCTACGTGTGGAACGCTACACGCCGCACACTCACGGTCTCGTTCTGGTCGTGCGATGAGCTACCTTATTAATTTTTCTAAATAGGTTATTTTTATAAATAGGTAGCTGTGTGCTTACATCTATATTTGTCTTGAATTACTGCAACACATACAAGACTTAGAATTATTGCACCAGTCTTCAAGACAACTGAAATGTCCTCCGGCAATTTTTGGATTGTGAGGCCCACGAGTGTAGATGTATTGCTTATTATCTACATTGCAAATATTTGACACTGTTAGAGGACTTTTATTGGATTCCTTTCTTTCACGAGACCCAAATTAGAATCATCTTTGGTGGGAAAAACTAAAAAGAAATCGAATGTCACATTACTTGTGGACGACGACTCACAACCTCATATTCGAGCCGTGTAACCAGTCGACCAACGATGCTATCATATCACAAAAATAAATCGAAAGTTGAATTACGCAACAAACAATTTGAGAGGATTATGAGACCTTGTGGGGGAATTTATTTTGGTTTCAAGTATCCGTCACATTTGATTGAAATATATGCATAAGGTCTACGCAAAAAAAAAAGAGAACTTACCGAATTAAGTTTTATCTATGTGGCTGTTCATCTGCAACTTCGCCTGTATCGAATTTGAAATATTCTCGTGCCTTGCTACATAATATGCAGCAGCTTCCAGTTTTTCAGAAGTATCAGTATGAAAATTAAAATTGTTATTCACAGAAAAATAAACAAACTTTCTGGTGGCATTGGTAACCCACTCAGTTAGATAATAAAATTGCAACCAACTTGATTACAAATTAAAAGTGGGATATAAGGGCTTTATATCCTTCGATTACGTGCGACTGCAAAGCGGAGTGCGTGCGCAACTTACACGTTACGGCTGCGTCGCGCCTCCGGTTGCAGTCCACGAAGCTGTAGCGTAGCAAACCTTGTTACACATCTGCAAGGAATTTACCGCGTAACCTCGGCGTAGTGCACTAATAACGAATACGTTACGAACACGCTCTGAAGACGCTTGCAATCTGCTAGTATGAGATTTGAAACAATTTTCTGTCGCAGGTTTCATCTACGACAGAAAATTAGTTAGTTAGTTTTAGTTTTCAGTAGTAAATTTTCTTCTCTAATCTATATTAATTTAACAAAAAAGGTTGCATAAATAAAAAGACCATTTATTTAGATATTAATATATTTTCGAATCTAAAATGTACAAAAAAATACAACTTAAATGTTATGTACTCATAACGCCTGATTTCATCAATGAATAAAATATTACAGTTCAAACATTTTGAAGGTATTAGTACATGACGTGAATGTTTTATTAATTGACAGTTACTAAATGGTAAATGACCCGGAGCAAGCTACTAGGAACAAAAGGAGCGACCTTTTATGTCTCCTTTTCATTTGTATGTTTCCTTGTTATAATATTTCAACTTTTGTCAATATCTTTGTGCCAAAAATAACAATTTAATTATTCCTAATACCAGGGCGGCTGTTTAAAATGCTACGACAAGACATTGGATGTACTGACATTGCAACTGTACAGGTTTCTTTGTATCTCTTCTAAAATAAACATAACGACCTATAGTTAAATTTCTTATTTAATCAACCATCACTTCATAACAACTTTGGTTGTGTATGCTAATCGTAAAAATATATGTATTTTAGCTATTTACAATATATAAACATACATACATACAATGCGTAGAAATGCACAGCAACACAAAAGGCCTTAACTAACATCTGAAGAACTAAATAACACAGACTTAACGGCCACTCACAAAAACGATCATTGTAGAAACAAGGACTAGGTTTCTGTATTTTTACAAGTTTCCTATCTGGTTCAGGTAATATTTGAAATCGTGATCAACAACACTATAGTGGGAATTAATGACTGAAGGAAACCTACCGTTGAGCTTATTCCTACAATTATAGAAACACACAGCTCTACCATACAACTAATAAAGCACACATTCCCAAATATCAATTCTGTGAGTGACCTGATCTAAAATCACTTTGCAAAGTTTTTGAAAAACATAATTAGTTTATTCATAACTTTATAACAGAATATTAAACCTAAGTAATATTCACAATATAAAAATACCCTTGTACGAAGACGACAGGCCAAGACAAAAGGCATGATTTTATACAAAAAATAAAATCAACTGCGTACGGGAATGCCTTGTTGTGTTAGCGACTGTCATCCTTTCTATAATAAATATTTTATCACACAATCTTACCTCTGTGCAGAGGAAGTTTTAGAAAACCCTTTGTTTATTATCATATATCAGGAAAAACAACAATAACTATAAAATAAATTGATTTATCAAGTGTAACATAAGACTGAAAACAAATTATTCTAAACTAATTATGTTTTCCTGCAGAATCAAAGACTCCCGTACCCGTCTATGTTTCTCGTGTATAATAATGCAGAGTGATAGTGATATAGGGGCCCCTGCCGCAGAGTAACTTTATGAATGATAAAAAAATATTTCTATTACACATCGATATATCACATTAGTTAATGCAGTCCAATTGTATTTTTTCTGCAAGATTGGATGGAATTTTGGACCCAATTAATTATATTTTAATTAATTAAATTTACTCTGAGACAATGGGTCATATTTTCTTAAATATAAAATGAAATTGTTTTTCAACCTTCTTATATAGAATTCCAAATTATACGTAACATTTCAATATATACCAATTTCTCCAGAAATGTAATTATAGAATGTAAAATCTACCATGCTCTTACAATTTATGTTCGACATTATCATTTACTCCGAAAATTTTAATAAATCAATATTTGAATTGGATAGTCCAATTCATAAATCAAATATATTCTAAAATTAATTAGAAAAGACTTACAGGTATATCAGCACACACTAGCGTTTTTAAATGATCTTCCTTCAATCTATGTTTTAAACAGTATTGTAACAGTTTGTACAATTTTGTTATGAACTAGAAGTTCGAATTGATTCTTACAATGAGGTATTCATTCATTACACCAAGAAATTATCTTTCTAACAATTGATTACATCTAGACGATTCCCATACATATAAAGCATTTTAAAATTTTAAATGTCCGGTTATCAAAATATTTGTTTATATTATAGGAATACTAATTTTCGTTGATGATCAAAGACGTGTCGCAGTGATGTCGGCAAAGAGACAGAGCACATTTTTATAGGATTCAATTAAATGACGTCGCATTACCTAGGAAATGTAATTACGTATTCTAGAATTTCTATGAGAAAGAAATTCAGTAAGTTATTGAGCTTTACAAATGGCGACTTAGAAATTGCGTTTCATTAACAAGTCGTTGTACAAATCGTATTATCGAATTCCTCTATCTATTCAGCAACTACGCCAATTTTCGAAAATAAAAAAACGTTATATTTTTAGGTTACGATTCAAATATAATTCATAATTAAATCTCGGGTACAAAATAATTGTTGTAAAGTATTCACAGTAAGATACCAAACATAAACAATAAATCTAGGCCGGGAAATAGAAAAATTACTAGCAAGAGCATTAATGAATTAAAAAATAAAAAGGACATTATTGTGTGATTTAAGTGAAAAAGAATGTAATGGCACACATTTAACACAAAGGAAGATTAAAATTGCAAAGCTTGTTCAAGCATTTTACAACGTTTATCCAAACGGAATTTGAGGTAGAACTCAATGAGTAAATAATACAGAGAGCCCATATTAACAAACCGCAGGGTCATAGGATTACCGCTATTATATTGAGTCCGTCTCATGATTACTTTGTTTCCATTCGCCTAAGATATCACCTTTCTAGTACTTTAAATAGTTTGTTAACCTTGAGTTGAATGCATGACTGGATCGGTTTCTTAACATGGACTTCTTGCAATTCTAAGCTATGACGCAGACCAGACTACTTTTAGTTTTGGAAGACTAAAATTCCCCAATTATAATTCCACTGTAACTACATAATATATCACCTATGTAGACGTGAGTCCCGTATGAAGGTTTCTATATCAAAGGCATACTGTATAGGCTAAGTCATCATCTCATGATTTTATACCGCTACATGTTTGTGGTAGATGCATCTCACGTGAATCTGCTCTAAATTCGATGTAGATTATTTACAATGACTTTGATCTAGGTAGAAGCTACAATCGTACTTTAATGGAATCTATAGTGTTGCAGACTTATGACTTTATTCGATACTTTATGTATATTATTACTAAACTCTATTTCATTTTCAATATTATTATACCATTATCGTATTATTTAACTTTTTTTAAAAAGGTGGCATTGAAAAAATATTCTTTATCTATAATTTCAGGCACAGATGCATTATTACGGCATGACAGTATTTATTTACATTTAACAGAAAAGTAAACGGTTTACTCATGCAATGGACGTGTTTCAAACGTTATTATATAGTCTTGATTACATAAACTAGTTCTGTTACCGTAAATCTGCAAAAAATATAACATTTGTGTACATTTATCATCGTCAAGTTGTTGTAAACGAAGTGACGGCATTATATGCTGTTTCATCTAGCGACTGGTTACGAGTAAATAAATTTTGTTATCATATATTTATGTATTATGAATGTATAAGACACGGCTATTCCTTTGTCTATTTGCTTAAATTTTCATGTTACAAGGCCATCACTTGTACTTTATTGGTTTGAAATTTACTTATAACACAGGACTCGCCTCTCTGAAACCATTGTGTGGAATGAATTATATTTGTATGGTCATCAGATTGCGTAAAGCTTACTTATCTCACTACCCACATATATTAACTGAGCCGATGTTCTCAATTTTATCAATAACAATGACAAATTATATTGGTCAGTGGCCTACATTTCATTCTATTTATTTCATATGGTATAAAAATATGTTTATATTATATAGTCAGATTACTTGTTTAACTTGATTTGTGGTTTATCTATACATATTTTGTACGTTCATTTTAGTTATAGCACATCACAATTTACTTCTTTAAAGTACCTAGGTTCTAAACGTTATGGTTGGTATTTTGAAAAAGGTTGACGTTAGAAAGTAATTAATACATTTTAAGGGATATAATAAGACAACTTACTTATTATCTAAATTGAGTGAACCCCCATGAAATCTTCTTAAGTACTTCGTATCGATTAACTTGTCAATCGCGAATAAATTATAAGGAGTTTAGGGAAAGTGCATACTGTTATGACTCAATTAGGGATACAATTCCTGATCAGAATTCGAAAGTCAGCGGCAACATGTACCCTAGTACCATGGATCGCTGTGTACATAACCTGATCATCATGTTATGGTCCCGTATACAAAAATAACGGATTGACAATACTGTTAACAACTCTGCTAAACGTTCTACCAGTGGATAATTTTACAATTTACGTTACACATATTAGACCGTTATTAGGATACACACACCACACCCAAAGGTCTAAGTCATATTTTATTATTACACTTTAAAGTTAACGTATATTAATTATTATTATTAGGTAATATTGTGCAATTCTAGTACGCTTAATCGTTAACTTCGAAATACACGCCACCTCAAGCAGTATTTACTTTACTTATCCATTATCAAATCCGAAAAAAAATTCTTGCAAAGTACTTAGTTAATTTTATATATTTCGTAATTATTTATCTTAATCGCCGAGACTTGGGCTATACAGCATTAAAGTATTGTACTGCCTGAAATGGCGAAGTAAATACTGTAATTTCGTGCCTAACATTTAATTTATAGTTACTAATAATGACATCAAACATTGATGTTATTTAACATTGACCTTCTACCGTAGAACTTAGAATAATACACACACAGTGTCACACATTTTACCCACTTAATTATAAACATCATTTTTACGAAAACACTAAACTTTATATCGTAAGTATGTAACATAATCTAGCGAAAATAATTTTATTTCATATATGTATATATAAACAACGTTTATAATTAAGTCTGTGTGATGAACGATAATATTCTCCTTGGAATAAATTTCGTTTTCTTCATCGGCTGCGAATGATTACGTAGAGTTTACTCTTTCAAATGTAATTAGTAATTACACGAAGATGAAAATTTTATGTCAATTTAATTCGTAATTTTCGTCGCACATTAAGTACTATTTGCAACGATAACATAAATAACAACCTCAATTTACTTGGTTTTATATCAAATAAAGGTATTTAATGAGCAGACTCAAAAATAAGCGCATTCAATTTGAATACATGATTTTTAATACCGTTGCAAATAGTGTCTACGATAGGAACATCAAATTGTCAAAATGTTTATGTCAATATTGTTATATAGATCTTTAGCCGAAATATGGTAGACATCGTACACGTTATACTTAAAAGCATAACTTGTAACAATGTAAATGTTCATAATATTTGAGACGTATAAAAATTTAGGTCATCCAACACGTTGTTATTCATCAAATCCCTTAACAATTGCACAATGTGCAAAGAAATAATTCTTACATTGAATCGATAGAACATGTTTACCAATTCTTTACCATTCCTTCTTATTTTCTATTTATTTATTACATATCCGCGCCTTTGTATTAGGGTAATTTCGTCGACCAAACAAGGGGGTTTTACTCTACTATCAAGACACGATAAATGTTATAATCACAGATATAAAAATGTAAAAATAATATTGTAAATAAGTGTCATTTTTGATCTTTTTACAATAATAAAATGTATATAATTACTTTCATAATGTATTTTTGCTACTTCATGTATAAAAATTAAAAATGTAATAATATAAAAATTAAATTCATTAATTGCGATACTAGTGCGAGTATAATGTTTCAACATTGATAACTAATATACTCATATATATAAATAATCTTTTAACAATCACATGAACCAAGATAACGATTACTGTGATTATAACATCGAAATTAGTCATTTATTAAAAATATAGAAAATAGGAATTGGAAAAAACATAAAAAATATTTGAAATTATTTAATGAATTTCATAAAAGGATTCAAATTAAAAAGAATATTTTACCATACACGAAACACAAAGAAATATTTTAACAAAATATTTACAATAAAGCAACAGCTATAATTTAACAACATATTATTTACACGTAAAAATAATATTCTCCATAAGAGAAACCATTTCGCTCGACGTCTCGTCATCATATACTATAATACAAATTACTTTGTCATAACAGGTAACATCTGACTTCCATACTATAATACATAACGTTCACAACGCCAAAATATGTATTTTATATTTCTATACAATATTGCACGCGGTATATTTCTATTGTACATTGTGTGTGTGTACTGGGCGTACGAGTTAATTACATATTTTTAATCACTATTTTTTCCATCACAGGAAGCTACGAATTTCGCATCGATTCGTTTTTCGTTTAAAATTAGAGCATATGAAAGATAATACATAGATACATATTTATAAAAGACCATACCTAAAGTTTCTCAACGAACTTAGAAGTAAATATCATCAACGAAACGATTTTATACAACTCGAAAACATCACTAGCACTACTAGACTACATTAAAGATGTCTATAAATACGCGTATGTACTATATTAGTCTCACGAATGTGAGATTTACAGCCGCAGAGGTACCACGTAGACCGTAACTCGGAACGACGACGTTCGTTACGCTGGAATCTAGGGATCGTCGATTAACGTCCATCCGATGAAGCGAGAAATGAATAAATGCAAACTTCAGCGAGACCCGGAGCGCGCACAGCGCCTTGTGCGCCAGCGTCCCGGCCGCATCACTGCGACAGCAGCTTCTGCAGCAGCGACGCCTTAGCCGCCGCCGCCGCGCCGCCCGCCGGACCCGCGCGCGCCTCATCACCGTCCGCCGCCGACCCCGCCTCCGCCGAGCCCGCCTCCGTAGTACTCTGCACGGAAACCAAACCATCTTACCCTCTACTGTTCCTGTCATACAATCTGGCAGCATCAATACGTGCTCCTACTAGAAAATAACATTATGTGCAAGTATTTTCCTATACCTACTGGGAGGAGACTCATAACCCGTAACATACGACTATTATTGATTCTTCACATTGATGTTAGTTACTTTTGCGAAGGTTTTAAACACGTATAGAAACAATTTTATTGTATTATTCAAGCAGGCTAGTAAGTTAGTAGTCTCGTATATTATGAAACATACCTTTCAAATTATTTTAAATAAGAATGTCATAGAAGTAGCCTACAGAAGTCATGGTAAGTGTGTATAAATTCATGTACCATAATTGAGTAGTATCAGGTATAATATGCATTTTTAATAAGTCCTAAATTAATATTTGTTACTATCATACATTTTATAATAATTTACTATAAAGTTCTTCCGAAATAAAAAATATTTTTCTTAGAAATAATCGTAAGTTTGATTGAAATAATTTTGAGTAAATTCGATTACGCCATAATGTAATTAATACAACACTATTACGGTTCCATTAATTAAATACTTAATGTAACTAAGTTATTTTGTATTATTCACTATGTAGTATTAAGGAACTGATAGCATCTTTTATTTAGGAAAGCAGAAGATAAATGTTTACTGTATACGAGGAACGATCAAAATATAATAATTTGACTTTTACTTTTTTGTGGCAATAACAAATGTATCTAAAGTATAGCTTTGGGTACCACATACTCCCAAAAGTTTGTGCATCTTTGATGATTGTATTCATTTAATTCTATATAATGTTATTGTAATTAATAAATACATTTATAACTGTACACAACTTGTTGGAACTAATTACCGCAACTTTATCATGCATAAATCCAATCCAATCAATTACAGTATGATTTTGATCGCTTCTCGCACGAATATAATCTCTAATTATGTACTATAAACCGATTCAATTTTCAATTACCGCCATGCAATCTCCTTCTGTATAACTACGAAAACGTAATCAACGAAAAATGTTCTAAAACATTTTATAAGCGAACAATAAGCGATCTATTGCAAAATTATAATGCTGTCGTTTCATTACTACAACATCACAAAACCTTCACCACACTTTAGAACTCTGCGCATGCGATTTGTTCTCCCCGTTCTTATATAAGCTCAACTTTTATAAAGTTAAAATCCTATAAGCCGGTGAATTGTATTGTACGTTTAAATCAAAGTATCTAAGAAAAAATATCGTAGATGATTGTTTTTGAAATTGGAATAGTAATCACTATAAGAGACATTATTGTACATCACATCACAAAAGCTTATTCAAAATTCGGAAATGTGTCAATTTAAGCTGTACCAAATTGGCATTTGATTCATTTGCTGTTCTCTGTAATCAATGGTTGGTTAAATATAGAAATGTTTTTCAATCCTCAATCCAAAATACACATTACCATGATGCCAGTATGGTAAGCAAACCTTGATACACTTCACTCAGCTTCTAGAATCAAGATGATCGAATCGACAACACACGCAGCAGAGCAGACGTAATAATTATAGGTAGGTCTACAGAAAAATGAAAACCCATAAAGTAGTGAAGTGACTAGATGATATTTTGTAATCGCTGAACGCGTCCCAAGCTTACCGGGGTGCTCTGTTGCGATTCCCACGAATTAGTAGACGCCGAGGTCGCTCGGCCCCCCACCACACTGCCGCCACCTACGTACGTACACACGTATACATTGGCAGTGGTTATCCCCTACACTGACAATGTTCCAAGAAAACGTGCTACCGAGAGCGACGTTTCTTTATTGTCCCCAACTGACATGACGAAGGAGGGTTTTGGCATAGTCATTATAGACAGTGCAGGCAGCAATTAAGCGCCATATAATGGAATAAATTGTTGATAATAGTTATTGAAGATATTTTTAACGTGTAATTAAGTCGAATGTTTGATAAAGGCTCAGTTGATTATAATACTGTTCAAAAACAACATCAAATTAATTTTGAATATTTACCAAGCATTTTTAGTTTTCCTGACAGAACACACAAAAAGAGAGATTGGAATTTTAAATTTAAACTTTTTACTATGTTGAGGCCTCGTTTTTTGTTTTTGATTTTGAGCCTTAAACAGCTGTTATCCATGTACCAGAGTGGTTAACCGAAATTTTAGGGTCTTCATATCCATGCCCTAGCTTAGTTGAATAAATTTATTTCATCTCATTCTGGCTTTGGACACCTAAACGTTTGTTCTTCTGTGAAATCAATAAAAAAACAAAACAAACATATTGTGTTCATCAATGTGTAAATATGTGTTTGTTTGTTATATTTACAAAAGAGTTTAATGTTTATCGTGAGACACAATATCCCGAATTCCCAGAGCACGTAATTAGAAAATGTCTAGGATGTAAAGCCTGTTCTGCTCATAATATACAATGTTTACAAGTAAATAGTAGCAATCATCGACCCTTATATTTTAGGAACACTTAACAACCACTGGCAGTGAGTACCTCATTCATTATCTAAATAATGTGGGGTCACGGTGTGTATGCAGATAGTGGCGTGTATACGAACCCGGAGGAGTCATGTCGAAGCTCATGAGCGGGTCCATGTCGGGCGCCTGCAGCGGGTGCAGGTCGGGGCGCGCGCGCGACACCATGTTGCGCAGCTCGTTGCGCACGTACTCCGACGTGCCACCCGACCCGCCGCCAGCCACGCCCGCCACGCCGCCCACACCCGCTACGCCGCCCACGCCCGCCACGCCACCCGATCCGCTCACTCCACCGCCGTTACCTGCACCTAAAAAACATTATTATTTAACCGTCAACTTACAACATTCGTTCCATTCATAGATTATAGTTTACCTTTCTGTGACCCTACACCGATGCATTTAGGTACATACATATCAAATAGGTACTCGATGTTTAGGTAGCGCGGTCATTCTCAGCTCGATCCAAAGTTATATCAAGTAAGCGAAGGATTTTAAAGCGCAGAATGCAAGAGATTATTAATCATGCAGAGCGATAGGAATCGGAAGAAAGTACTGGCGCTACGTCGCGAGCAAATTCGACTACTACTCGAAGCCTTACCTCGGTCGCCGACACGTAGCCGACATTCGAATGAATCAATTTGTCATACTTCCGAAACGCTAATCCCTGCACGTATTCAGCGATCCTGTCGTAAAACCACGGACACAGTCGCCGCAGAGCAGACGGCGGCGAGACGGGTACTCACATGCGTGCTGGTGGTCGAGCGGAGAGGCGTGGGGGTGCGGCGCGTGGTGCAGCGGCGCGAGCGGAGCGTGCGCGCCCAGCGCGGCGCAGCGCGCGTACTCGGCGCAGTAGCCGGCCGCGCCCGCGCCGCCCTCCTCGTAGTAGCCTCCCACTGCCACACACGCCGCGATAAGTACACGCTACAGCGAGGCGCCCACCGCTATGCCCGACCTACCTATTCGATGCGCCTGCCGGGATCGGGGAAAGGATCTCGCGGGTGACGACTCGACATGTCGTCGGAAGCGCGGATAGAGTCGATCGAACGCTGGACATGAGCGTCGGAGATACATTCACCGTATCCGATGGGCGTGAGTGCCCGCGCGCATATCGTGGCGGCTAGTCACTCGATATGAGTTTACGACCGCGAAGGTTTGTCTCTTGTTGTAGCTAAGTATCTTGCATTCATAAGATTTATAAAGATACCGGATAGTGAAGCCATAGACATGCAATTAGATTTTTGTCTAAAATTTCTGGCGGATTGACCAGATCTGGCAGGACACGCTATTTCTAAAATTCTACGGGACATGCGTTTGTTTTTATAATATCATGCTCTTGAAGTCAAATAAAATTTATTGTCAAATTTCTAATCTATAAATATCTACCAAAATGTAATGTATCGTTATTAGTATAATTGAAAAGCTGTACAAAAACCACTGGACAGTAGTATAAATTCAAAAGGTTTTTAATTATATAAATATCTGATCACCTTAATAAGTAAAAATAAGCAAACTACTTCCAAAAGAATGTAAAATATAACCACAAGACCACCCACCCTCTTAGATGTAATATAAAACATTTTACAATATTGTAGGTACCTCTTCTTAATAAACAGCGCTCGTTAGTATGGTCATTTATTGTTAAAGTACTTTCAGATTTTATACTCAAGTAGGTACTTTAATAATAAACGCACGAAATAAAAAAAAACGTATTATGAAATTGTTGTTATACTTTTAAAAATTTGATTTGTCTCCACAATCATATTTAATGGTGTAAAAATACTTGAACCATTTAAATCAAATACAATCGTGGAACAAAATCAAACGGAATATCAAATATCCCTTCAAAACATTTGTGTAACTTATGCGCCACTCTACAAATTTCTTCATTATCTTCTTGGGAAAATGAGTGAATTATTTATTGTTATTGAGTGTTAAAATTGAGAGAAGTCAGCAAGTAGTGATATGAGTATGGTGAAGAAGAAGGAGAGTGGCGGAGTAGTGGAAAGTGAGTGTAGTGTGTAATGCCGTACTGACCTAGATGCGGGCGCGGCGCGCGGTGGTAGGGCTGCGCCCCCGGCGTGTGCAGGGACGCGCCGTGTGAGTACCCAGCCCCCGACACCTGCAGCATACAAACATTTTACTATGCTACTAAAACTAATATAGTGAGAACAAAATATAATTTATTTTTATTACAATTATTCGGCTTGTATAATGGAGACAAGCTCTATTACCTTCCAATATATATCAATGAAATGAGGGTTTTCGATACTTTTCCAGCCGCCAGGCGGCGCTTCGTATGCGTTAGGTCCAAACAGCTGTCAGATAGCACAGATTCTTACCAAACGTATTATTATTTTAGTAAAATTTTATGTATTTGGAAGTGTCATTAATTTTATTATGGCTACAAGCCACTGTTTTAATCGGCTTTTATTTTCTGTAGGGAACTTATGTCCTCCTTTTTTATTTGCACACATAGGCACTGCACAACTGCACTGTGGCATTTTGGAAAACAATATTCCGTTGGTACATTTTTAAGAATAAATAAATCAAAAATGTGATCGAAAAATATAAATCGCGTATGTGTTTTGACAGTTAGGATCTGACATTACAGCGCTGCCATCTCACGGGGTGATCCCCCCGTTCAGAAAACCCTCATTAGTGTCTTACTTTGATCATACAAAAATAATCTATTTTCTAGCATATAGAATTATATTTAATAATTAATAATGTTACAACATATTGTTTGAAGATGTAGTATTAACATGGTTTGCATTGATTAAGTTCAAGGCTACTTACACTAAGTTGTCGACTCAACATAGGATTCTGTTGAGATGTGGTTATTTTATTTGTACCATAATTTGGACCCATTTGATCTGTAAATAAGCAAAATTAATGAAGTATAGAAAAATTGCACTAAACACTTGTCGAAAAACACAATAGGCAGTAGGAGTATTATTAACTTGATAATATTATCATCTGTCAAATTATACAGGGTGTAACCGAGTTAATGGGGACAATTTTAACTTTTTTCTTTTCACACAAGTCAAGATAGTCTACTTTTACAGCCTATTTACTAAGATAAACAACATATTATACCGCTTACAATACTAACTGCATTATTTGATTACACCGTGTAAAAACTAAAAAACACTTACTATTTTGATGATATATCTGATGGTGATAGTCCGTCCGTGTTAAAGCTACATTAGGAGGTGTGGCCGAAACTAAAGCGTTGATAGTCGAGCCTAAATCGGCCTGGGGCTGCTCAGCGGCCTGTGAATAATCATTGAAAATTTTAAGTAAGTCAAGAATATCGAGGTGTCGCCAGTGGAATCTTTGGACGAATAGAGTAATAGATAGAAAAAAGATATCTAAAACTGTAAAATTGGCAAGTTAATGAAAAGCTCCTGAACTATAAGTACTGGATTTTAAAAGATTTGTTTGTTAGACAAGTAGCGTGGTGTAGCAGTAACCTCAGGCGACACGAGCATCTGCTGGCTGCGCTGCAGCTGCAGCAGTCGCGCGCGCTGCTGCTCGACGAGGGCCCGCGCGCGCGCCGTGTCGCTGTAGGGCGCGCCGGCCGCGGGGCCCGGCGCCGGCCCGCCGCGCCAGCGCTCGCGCAGCTCGGGCGAGCCGGGGCTCACGGGGCTCGCCACCGAGTACGCGCTGCCCGCGCTCACCGGGCCCGCCGCGCTGCCGCCGCCCGGGCTCGACCCGCCCGGACGTGGAGAAGACTCCACGGCCTCGTACTGCATCAGGCTCTGCCTGATCGCATTTATCATTGCGTTTTTCTCTTTCATGCCCTGAAATAACGACGAGACACACATTTAACTTATTTCCATTATTATTATGAATGAAGACTCAAAATACTTTGTTAGGGTTTTGGATATTTAATGCTCGATTATACCTACGAATCAGAAACTAATATCGTTAATAGGCACCACGAAACTGCAGTGCGTCAAACGAGCTGCTTTCTAAGATAAAACAAATAATGAGCAATAAAAGTTGTAACCGAGAATTTGAAAATATCGTGTATGTAGGCTGGTAAGTGGTATACCTGTCGTTGTCGCACACTAACGTCAGGCGGCGGCCGGTCCGCGTCCGGCATGTTGTCGATGACTTCGTCCAGTATGTCCGACAGTGTCTGGTCACTGGGCACCTCACTGTCGCCACTGCCGCTCCCGCCTTGCGGCCGCGCGTTACCACTCCTGTAATTAAATATACATAGTAATCATTGTAGGTATAGAAACTGTGTAATTAAATGATCTGATCTGACGATTAAATGATAATTAAATGAAAATCTGTACTTTACAAAAATTGAGATTCTAGGATTTTTGGTTTTTCATACCACATGTATACAATTACTGGTATAGGCATAACATGTTGTATGCATCAGACAATGATCAATGCAATTCAGCAATAACGTACGTGGGCTGGTTGTTGTAGAGCGGCGCGGGCCCGGGCGCAGGCGCGGGTGCGGGCGCGGAGTAGTGCAGCGGATGGGGCGCGGGCGCGGGGTAGCGCGAGCCGCCCGCCAGCCCGCCGCTCTGCAGCACCATCTGCAGGTGGCTGGAGTTGCCCATGCTTACAGCCGGGCCCTCCGTGCCCACTGACGACACGCCGCCACCTCCGTTCATATTATTAGCACGGCTGTAATATAAAAAAACATTAGTTTAGATTATCAGTATCGATCTGAAGTAGCCGATCTCGCTTATTCTTAGCATGAGTAGAAGCATTTTGGCGTGCAATAATAGGCTTACTGGTTAGTGCCGGTGAGTATGTTGGAGAGCGTGGAGTGGTGATGTCGCTGCGGCGGCATCTGAGGCGGCGGTGGAGCGCGCGGGCGGGCGGTGGGCCCGTAGGCGCGCAGGTTGGGGTTGGGCAGGGGGAGGGGCGTCGTGGGCGTGGTCTGCTGCCGCGCGAGCAGAGACACCAGGATCTGGTTCTTGCGGCACAGCGAGCTCATGCCCGGGCTACTACTGCTCGCCGGACTCGTCGCCGTCGAAGACGTCGTCGATGACGCGGGAAGAGCACTCGATGTGACCTGTTATTTAGTCAAACATGTTTTTTTGTAAAAGTACTCTTACTTTTTTAAATAAAGAGTATTTCATTTTGAGTTAAAATGATTTTTATTAAGTATATAAAAATAGGGTTTCTGTCAGACTCTGTATATCAGAATATCTACAACACGAAACCCAGTTATTTGCAATTGGAATGAGAGTAGCAATACAAACCTGTTGGTTTTCAGGCGTAGCTCTTTTTGAGTTATTTGCTACTCCTTTAGCTTCTTCGAACTTGCGTTTCACTCCGGCAATTCTTTCAAGATAATTGTCGCTGCTTTCCTGTTGTCGTCCATTCCCAGACGGTCCATTACTACTTGAAAGTAATTGGGACAACAGTGCACTAGGTTGAGAAACACCCCTATTCCCGTCTGCAGAATTTCTTCTGTTTTCCTCCGCGTCCTCATCAGATTTATCGTTTAATATCTGCAATATTGTAAAGTATAATATGGGCAAATGGGTGGATGGTAACGGGAGGTCGAGTCGGCTAGACATTGAGCAAGAGAACTTACCCTGAGTAAGACATCGGAGTTATTATGGTGCGGCTGCTGCATAGAGTGCGGCGCGGGGTGCGCAGAATGCGCGGAGTGCGCGGGATGCGCAGGATGCGGCGGGTGCGCGGGGTGCGCGGCGTGCGGCGCGTGCGCAGGGTGCGCATGCGGCTGCGGGCGCGGGTGCGCGGCCGCCGTGTGCAGCGGCGACAGTGCCGCGCTGGGCGTGTGCGGCGTGTGCGGCGTGTGGGGCGTATGCGGCGTGTGTGGCGTGTGCGGCGCCGACGTCTCGCTGCCCGTCGCGTCCTCGTCTTCTTGCTTCAGCAGGTCTTTGAGGATGCGATTGTTCGAGTTGACGTTGTTGTCGTTCGCCGGCATCGGCTTCTTGCTGAGGAGCGTCCGAAGTCTGTTCGGTTCCTCGGCCGGCGGATTCGAGGGCGGCCCTTCGCCCGGAGTGGACGGCGCTCGCGGCGTTGGAGGCTGCGAGGGTCCTTCGACACTTTCCTTACGTTCTTTAGTTTCTTCGCTGGGCATATCGAGCAAGGAAGACGCCCAGGGTTCGAGGTCGAACTCGCTCAAGAACGTACCGTCGTTAGGACTTATCGAAGACTGATATCGGGGTTCACACGAAGAGGACTCCCCGTTAGCGACGGACGTCATGAGTGGACCACCGACGGGAGGTCGGGGACCGTCACTTTCCAGGAGATCCATGTCGTCGTCGTTAAGCACTGTATGCGTGGACATTATAAAATCCGATTCACCCGACGACGGTTTTGCTCTAAAAAGACGCGACTGTGCTATAACCCTGAAGCAAGGTCTGTCTGGGGCAATACGTATACGAAAAGGTTCACTGATCGCTGGAGGCGCGGGAAGACACGTAGCTTCTTGCAAGTGCGCGGCTACACGAATACGATCACTACTCTCAACAAGTTCCAAATAACGTGTACCCACTAGGGGTACAGCAGTGTTTATTAAGTTTTCCACTCCTCTTAAATCACAAACTGTAAAAAGAGAATCAATTAATAACATTTATAAGAAGTCATCAAGGGTGATTGTTGTACGATCCAGTATTCGGAGTAATGGTAAAAGGCTTACGTAAAATGATGAAGTTGCAGTCCAATCTGAAGACAATGTGATCAGAAGGCTTGGCGGTGCTGGCGGGCGGGCCGCCGTCGCCAGGGAGAAGTGCGGCCGACGCGTCCTCGCAGCGCCGGATGACGCACATGACGGCGCCGGCCTCCTCCGAGGACGAGCTGCGCACTGCCGCAGCCTGGATCACGCAGTCCACGTACCTGCCACACCAGCGCATACATCACATGAATTTTCACACACACTCCAAAACAAGCGCGTCTTCACACACGGATAAGGTTTGAGCATAAATCACCACATTGGCGATGTCAACCTTATAATTAGCAATTAGTCAAAGTTTCCTCACAGTTTTTCTTAACCATCTGCCAGTAGTGACTAAAAAACTTAAGTGCAAAATTCTAACGTAATTCGTTCCCAAGATATAAAGCCGAATTCACATTTCCCATGATTTTTAAACCCAAGATATAATCCTGCCATATTACAATTTTAAACAATAATTTTATTTTAACTCAACAGGTACAGACTGCATATTATCAGTATGCAATATTCCTATATTATTATAACGAAAGTATTTAAAAACTACGCATAATATTACACATATTTGTGAAATAGATTTGTACGGTGGTTTTGCACTACTCGATGTAAATACGTATTGGTAACAAGTAATCGGCCCCTTATCGTTCGACCGTCACCATCTACTATCACAATGAAATAGCAAAACACGCTCCCGTATCAATAGTGTTACACGAAGAGCCGTTGTCTTTAACACCTTGAGATATCTTAGGTCTTCAACTACAAACACACTTCAACGTTTCTGGTCTCGACAACTTACCCAGTACTGTCAGTCCCATTGGAGTTCTTGACAAGAAGACGAGCCTGTATAGCTTGAAATTTCTCCTGTCCGGTTTTAATTTCTGACGAACCCCAGTTAAAGTTTTGTGTGCTTCTTAGCAGTGGCTTCAATTTAGCATGATCTTTGCTATGCAACAGCGAAAATATTGATTTCTTGTATAACTCAGTTCTGTCCTGCAGAGTGAGCTCCTTAATATTTTCGGTTATACATACTATTTCAGCCTTTGAGTTTATTTCCAATAAAACCCATCCGAGGGTGCCAGTGTAATGCTTGAGAGCCTAGAAACATAAAAAGTTGAATTTATAAGTAACAGTTTAGGACCCTTTAATAATTATTGTTACAGTTATAGAAATGAGAACTGAATTGACTATTTAAATACTCAAATAAAATGCATAGACTACATATAAAATGCATGGTACATTGTTTAGACATTTGCTTTGAAACAGTGTTTATACAACAAAAGTCCTACATGAAACAGGATAAAAGTTATTAAAATAAATGAAATGAAATACCTCGATTAGCGAGTTAGTCTCCGAGTAATGTAATCCAGCACAGGATGGCTGGGTGGAGCTAACCTCGCCAGCTTGCACAGGCGAGCGGCTCTGGGCGGCGCGCAGGGGACACTCCTCGGGGCACTCCTTCCTGCGCCGCAGCACCTCCTCGATCTGCCGAGTGGCCTCACTTACGATGCCGTTTTTGTCTGGTTGCTTTACTTCAGCAAGACAGGTACTCAAAAGTTCTTCGAGTTGATTTATGGTAGCGTTTTCGAGCTCCCGTCGCTTCTTCTCGTTGTGACACTTATTTCTGAAAATACAGACAAAAAAAATTAACCACAAATCTTCTCACCAAGTCTTAACAGTTAAAGCATGTTGGGGAATTATTATTTCATTTTTATAGGTGCAAAGGATAGTAAAAATTAATTTAATATTGACACCTTTGGTATGATTTAATCCATTTTATTTCACATACAGAAGTTGTCTTAAAAATATATGAGATACCTAGCTACTGATCAAACATTAATGAAAAGGAAAAGGTACATCTACACGAATTACACACAGAATAAAACAATTATGAAAATACCCTAAAATAATATAAAATCAACCTATACAACGGTCTATGCTCTACACGATTTACAACAAAAACAATTACCCTATCTGGCCAAAATAATGTTAATGAATATGCAAATATCATTATCATTTATTTACTGAATTATCAATTTCAAACACGCCATCGATTTGAATATTCAATACTCGTTAACACGTGTATGGTATTCATTGCATATAGGAGGAATGATTAAAAAGTAAAACTCAGTGCGAAATACATAAGTAAATTTATAATTAAACAAAGATACGTACTCACGAAAGACAATGCGATAAGACAACGACTAATCATTTTAAAATTAAAATAATGAAATGAAACTTGGTACTGATTGCATACTAACCTACCTACCTACCTACTGTACATTTATTTCAATTGATTGCTGTTCAAGTATTTCCTGAGATATTTAGCTAAGTTGCTATTGTTTGCAGTTCGATACAAAATTCATGATTGATTGGTTGATGCAAAACAATGTTGTATTGCCGAATTCCGGTCAGTAACTCAGTCTTGATAAAATGTATTGTGTTGATAACATATACCTATAGTTTGCAGGTGGTTGGTAATTGGTGATAGATGGCATTAATTTTAAAGATAATATGTAGTAGGTCTGTCATGACGAATAGTCTTCGTTATTACATACTCTGTAAAAATAAATCTCTCTTGAACTCATTTTATTCGACAAACAGATAAGCACCCGTTTGTTGCCTAAGGTCGGGAAATTGTGATAAAAAATATTATATCGCATTCACCAGTTTCATAGATTTATAACTACATAATGAAACCGAAGGGGTAAGAGCGTTTTGGAGGGCAAATTATATTTTGAGTGGTTTGTTGCAAGTAATTTGAATATATCGTTTGTTCATAAACGTTTTGTCTGTGACAATATAATATCACTCTTAGATAATACTGAATAAAATTTTACAAGTTACATTTATCTATTGTCAATATTATTATTTATCTAGTGATTTACGTTCGCAAAATTTTGTTATAGTAATGTAGGTAACAACTCTATCTGATAGGCTTATATCAATTTATCAGAGACAATCCTTCATGGAACATGGTTCATTACGATTCGCTATTTAATTCTAGTATTTTAGAATAGTTTTAAATAGCACTTATTTGAAAATCACCACGCAATAATTAATATTTTTTGTGTTTGGTGTTGTGTCTTTAATAACAAACATTTGACAAGGTTATAGTACTATCGAAAATATTTCAATATCATATAATTTGGGTCGTTGATGTAAAATGAATGGACCTGACCTGACCATTTATATGTCGCGTAGTAGAAGACTTGATCAAAGAAAACTTTTAATAATCCAAGTGACCGTCCCACAAAAGTTGAACACTTTCATCCGACCTCTTAGATTAATTCCGATAGACTAGGAAGGACGTCGTTAGTTAGTTAATTGGAAGTATACAACACGCAAGGATTTATCGAATGTGAGGGGTCACCAGATTTACAACAGCCAAGAATAGTTTCCTTGCAAGTTAAATTAGTGGCTTAGTCATTTTAATATTTGTGTAATTCAGTTTTTGTACACCTATTTTAATTAGTACCAAACGCTATTATTAACAATCATGTGGTTATTTAATGTAGGAAGAACGAGGATCCAGTGATGACTAACTCTAAAACTTTTATAAAAACTAAGACTACTAAATTTTCAACGTAATATCTATCATTTTACTGACATTTCAAACATGAGCATGCACTTCGATGGTTATAATAGAATAATTATTATGATGAAATAAAAAAGGTATCGAATTAATACATGTATTAAAAAGAATAATAAGTATGAGCGTTTTCAGCATACCATATTTCCTGGTTTCTTAAACATCAAACGCAATAATATCAGTTATTCAAGTTCGTTGTTACAATTTTATTCACCAAATCACTTAATTGAAATTAAATTTGACAAAAGATAACACTTTATCAGCTTTCCAGAAACCGGGGTAAACCAATAATTGTTAGGACACGTCACAATACGGGCACTGAAGAATCATAATAATAAATATTATAGATAAATAAAGTAGATACTTTTTATTGCTCACATGTTAAAAGAAATAAAATATAATAAGGCAGCGACTGAATGCAGACAGCCTTATCAGTGATTCCTATCAATCGTAGGATATCAGAATACTCATAAACTGGAGAAAAACAATAACTATCAGAAATATATTTATGAAATAAATATAATATACTAACAATACAGTATAAAAAAGTATTTACAGAAACAAAACTTCCAAAACATCTTTATACTAATGGGATTTTTTCTTTGACATACAAGTTACACGCAGCTAGTCTCTTATGTAGGCTTTTCCAGGCAGGAAAATTTAAATATTGTTAAACATTAAGTATAAATAATAATAATAAGAGCATATTTAATTTTATTTTGTAATAAAAATGAAATAACTTTACCAGTCGAACCTTTTGTTGGAAACTAAATGCAATAAGAAAAATATAAGCAAGCTCTCAGGTTTCATAAGCTTCTTTACACTACATGAAAACACAACAACATACACACACATAACAGCTACAAACATCGAACATAATGTAAGAAAACACGTCTTATTTATTGTGTAGAGGTGCACACACTGTCTTCTCAAATTATATTATTATTTAATTCCCGTAGTATCAAGTTCATAGTATATTATCATTGTCATAAACCGTGCACTTATAACAATGTCATAATTTTATTATTGACAACACAAATATAAAATTTGTATCAGTTTTTAATAATTGAGACATCAATATTGCATGCAATGGTGCTTGTGACCACCAACCTGGACAACATATGACAATATTAAGAAATTATAAATTATTCTTTTAACTAGACGACATTTAAATATTTTATTACAGGCAAACATTCTATTAGAATATACTTACCAACAATATAAATATACAATTTAGCCCTTTGTTTAAATTCCTGTAACTTATCAGATATGAATAAACGCATCATGATGACTAAACGGTAAATAGTCTAGACTCTTAGATTAAAAAGATTATATTTTGTAACATAAAGTAGGAGGGGGGACAAAGTCAATACATGCATACAAAGTTATATTATAAAAAAATTGAATATATTCTGACACAAATTGCATTTTTGGTAAGTTTTTGAATGCCATTCTATTCAGAGAGCTTATGTATTTTTGTGACGGTTTTCATTGCAATTTTTCGATTTATCCGTTTCATATTATTATTTTCTTACTCTTTTACTTTTACAGATTTTGTATAATTTCTTTTAAAACAAAAAATGTTTATTGGTTAAAAGTTATCACAGTAGGATAGGTTCTTATCCACAGCAACTTGTCAAAAGACTTTATGACACATTTTGTATAATTAAATAGGTAATTAACAATAGATACGGCTACTTGTGACTGTTAACAAATTAGTTAATGCTATAGACAGCTAATTTTAAAAATATTGCAAATATAAACGTACATAAAGATAACATATAAGTGTTGAAAATAAAATGAATTAATTGATCATTTTTACTATGATTAAACAAATGCAATGTATCATTTCTCAACATGTCCCTTGTCTTTTTAAGTAAACAAATTATATTACAAATAGTAATCCTACTTTATAAATTAGTTTTAACTTTTAACGAATAATTTATACTTTATAGGTACCTACTTATATATTTTTTACTAAGGATTTATTTGAAAGATACACATAACAACTAAGTAACTTTTATTTATAGACACAGTGTGAACTGACTCATTAGCTTCTATTTTTGTAAATCACACAGTAGTGCAGATTTATTTATAAACTTATATTTTTGTTTTACCAAAATATATCAACTTATTATTCAAATAGTAAGAAGGGTTCCAAAACTGCTTACTCAAAACCACCATAAGGATTAGGGCACATGACTGCTTATTATTTATTCATGTTTCCCTTTGACATACTGACCTACTGATTGGCTGGCGATAATAATTTAAACTAACGATATTGCAGATAACGATATACTAATATGGCCTTCACAACCTTCATAAACATGTTCTTCAAAAAGCCTTAACATAGTGCCGTTTAAAGTAGTTTATATTTCTGAAATTTGTGCTTCTAAAATGTCCACCACAATATACTGAGGTTAGGAATTGCGCAGATTTAGGAATCACGCCTGGTGAGATCAAAAATTAATACAGGATTACGAAAGACCACAGAGTAAGACCATTTTGTGAGTTATTCGATATAGCATATAAAAGATATTTCTTTGTTGAAAGTATAGTTAGTTATAAGTGTCAGAATACAGGTAGATACTACTAGTACACCATATCAGCACTTTCTTTCACTAGTCCTTTTAAAGCAGCAATGTCGAGTAATAAATTATTTTATTCTATTTTAACCTAGAGGCACTCAATTTCCGCCTATTGTAGTTATTTATAGACAAAAATGCAAGCACTATACATTATGTATAGAAAGATATGCTTTTATTTATGACCAAGTACAATAATCATTAAAAACCCAGACATTTCCACCAATGTATACACATCAAGCGTATTATACGTACATTTGAGATTGTGGCTTATTGTCTGACTTTTTTCTTATCTTCTTAACCGGCGCTGGCACGCTCATCTTGCCTTGCATCCCCCTCCATGTGTCTCCCAGTTGGAGGTCACAGGATTCAATTCTACAGAAGCAGCAAACAAAATAAACTATTATTAAAGTATGGTGATTTGTAACACTAACTTATATAAAGAATGTGTTGCGATGATAATTGATGGTTGGTGATTTTATAGTCATTCACTTTTGTGAAAATAAAATATGTTCTATTTTACAAACCTATATAATGTTCGTAATCTAAAGTTGTGAAACAGTGGTGGCTGATATCTACTTTAATTCTACTTCTATATAAATAATAACAAAGGAAGCATTCTGTACTAAGTATTTTTTTTACCAAACAGACGATTCCCCAATCAATTTAATTATAATAGCGCAAGGGTATGACTCATTTTTGCTACCAAGCCAGTAAACGTATTGTATTTATTCAGGTTTTTTTTTAAATAGGTAAGTATTTATGTGTACATTATCAAAACTTTAACCAGGTGAGGATGTACATATCGTAATGGACTGACTATCAAGGAATAGTTTATGTTCACATTGACGCGGCTCGTATCAAATGCCAAGTACAGAGTAAGCTGAACCTTAATGCAAAAGAGGGACAGAGATACCAGTTGAACGACGCCTACCGAGGAGCCCCACTACGCAACCTCACTGCGACGGCCGCGCAACCTTGAAATAATAATGTTCGGAATAACAACAACGCGCCACAAGCGTGACCAGAAATAGTATAATAATTCTCGAAAATGTTTGAAGCCTCTATCTAGTTCCTAGTATATACTCATATCCTGTCTGTATTTGAGATAGGTGCGTACCTAATTCGGACAATATTCAGCCATGTTGCAGGCCAGGTGTATACCATGTGTCGTGTACAATAAGTACTGTAATACTTAGACAAAGTATTAGTAAAATTAATTGTACAGGATGCAGACCGTATTGTGTCTAACACAGAATTAGCATAGCTTAATATTTATTTAATGTTTTAGTTAAGTTGACACTTAAGTTCGAATAGGTGAAAGTTGGTAAGTATTGTCAGCGCTCCGCAGTCGAAGGTTTCGCTTTTTCAATCGTTCGTTACTCAACAGGTATTCGTCATCGAGACAACGACTTGACTACCAACGTGAGCAACTTTATTAAGCTCTTGTGCCTGATTTTATTACATCGAGTAAGGTCGTGTTTCTTAGACTACATTATTTCTGACATAATAATATGATCGCGTGAGTTTCAAACTAATTCCAGTTTACATGTTTGGACGTAAGATTTTTAACTCAGAGGTTACTTTTGTTTCATAAAAAAATGATTTTATCTCTAAACCTTATTCATGACAAAATGAAAGTATTTACAATGACGTCTACATCATTTAATAGACCTGAAACCAGCAGTTCCACTAAAACACTTTAGATTTTTATTTTCGTGTCTTCAAATATGTATTCAACACTAAAATGGGAGACTATAAAGCATAAGTTAAGAGCTATCAAATAATGTTTTAACTTCGTGTGAAGCCACGTATAGTAATAATAACATATTGAGTTGAGAGATCGCAAGAATGGTCGGCAGTGGGTGATATAACCGAGGAGGCAAGCGTTATTCAGCATTAACTTAATAAATCATTTGAGTGCGTTACTTATAAATATGATACAAACACGAAATCTGCGCCTAAAACGCACAGATTTCATTTAAAAAGTACTCTTGAAAATTTCCTTAACTCTGTTTCAAGCTACAATCACCTCTAATATAAATAAATAATAAAGTGGCTGATGTTATACAAAAACAGTGCATTAATGTGATCCCGAGATAAAAATATTCAAGCAAGCAATATTAAATACTATGATACAAAATTAAACTGAATTAAATATAAGTATACTAGGAAAATATTAAAACCTATTATTGCCTTAAGGACTTTTAATTATCAAGTGAAATAATAATGCAAAATAAATAGAAACATACTGAGATTCGTATGTATTACCATTATTATTCCTAAACTATAATTTCTAGGTTATTCTACTTTTTAGGAAAATAATTATATAAATTATTATGATTTCGCTGTGGCTGATGTGAAAAGGGGCAACTCCAAAAAATGGAGACGAAGCGAAATTACGTGTTAATGTGATTAAATTATGTACAAATAGCCAGAATTTCTATTAAGCAATTACTTAACGACTCTAATTGAATATAAGTTAAGAAAATCATCTACTCGAAAGCAGAAAATTATTTGCATTGCATTGTGTTTCTGCTGCAATTAACGCTACATTTTATCTATGTACTGGTGATGCATTAACTAATTATAATTGAATAACTGTTCATCTTAAAATTTCAAGAAATTCGTATATTTTGGATCTAATTGAATAAAAAATGTCATTATAACTTACCGGCAATTTGATATACTTATCAAGCTACACATTATTACACTGTGGATATTTCTTTCTTTGTTTTGTTAAATATTAGGTACTTAGATCCCGGGATCACATCATGTTGAAAAGCTCAACATCAAACATCACCGTTTAATGCGTATCCGGTAAAAGGATTTACTATTAAAGTTTAGAAACACTGCTAATTTAGATGTATCACCTATTTGTCTATCACTTAGAGTGTCACGCAAAAATTAGTAGGCCGATTTTGAAGACTTTCACTTTTTGAAAGTTGAGGGTGCAGTACCTACGATGAATACACAGTTACGTAAAACGGGGTTTCTTCTTCTGTAAAATGTACACGTAATTTGCGATAGTACTACGAGCTGAATTTGAATATTATATCCAGTAGGACTCGAGTGAAACTAAACTAAGTATACCACACCACATGAGCAATTGAGATTGTGGTTACAATGTGGTACTGCAAATAAAAGTTTACATAATGTGTTGAGGTAGTATAAGAGGCGATTGTTTGAAGTCCTAAGAAAGAAAATTAAGGATTTTAAATGGCGGCAATTCAAAAACCAGGTATGATTAGCTAATGTTAGGTTAGGTTTGCTAAGTAACAGCAGTCGTTTTTAAAGTTGATAGCTATACATATAATGTACCTATATCAATTTAATTGACTACACTATTGAATCTTGCGGAAAGGAAATTACTTTTGGCTTTCAAGGAGGTCTGCATTTTTAAAACCTTGAAATATAAAACAAGTTACAGAAGCACTTCACACGTGTTAATCGTTTCACAGATAATAGTTAAATATAAATGGTAAATTCCTAATGGTATAAACACAACCAATAGCTGATATTTAATTAAAATATTTCATGGTCCAAATTATTGACACGGTACGTTGGGACTAGAACGAATGTGGTCACAAAAATTAAAGCCACAATTCGAGTGATGACGAGTTTAGTGAGCGAGTCGAGGATCCAATGTGGTGGAACACTCGGTCGATAGCAAAATAACATTAAAGCATACAAGTACTTCTTCTGGATAATGTAAAAAACACAAGTGTGCAAAAACAATAACAATCAGGTAAGTAGATACCAAAGTACCAAAGACTACGATAAAAATCTGAGTCTTTGTTTAGTTTTGATGTGATCGTTCTCATAAATGGTGGATTTATAGTTATACTATAGCAACACTCTGTTAATGTCAATGGCGAATAAAGAGCAGGGTTACCAACACAACGAAAATATGTTCTGCTCTGTAATGATTTGCTACAAAAACCTAGGAATGTGGGAAATACCAACTTTTCGATGCAACAGTTTTAAAACCTTAACTATCGAAGTATCTGTTAAGATTTTTACTTCTGCATTCAACTCTTAAAGAGACACGTTAATTTCAGTGGTTTTCCCGTTTCCCAACAATTTTTAAGCCTTTGACTGCCGTCAGAAAGCTGTTGAAGGCTAGCGTGGCCCACACAGAGTCCCCCACGGCAATCAACGTGTTAAAGAAGACTTACATTTTACATCAATATATATAAGGTTCATATGTAGTTACTGGTAAACCTTTATTGTTACCCAATACTTTAAGAAATTAATACAATAAGAAAAAGAAGTGGTATATCATATCAAACAGTATTCCATTGTAATTGGGCTTAAATTGAGAGACAAATAAAATAAATTTCCAATTACCACCATTTAAAAACCTTTAGACTTTACATTTGAGATATCATTTATCCAGTAAAAGGTAGGTACAGCAACGAAGCAAAAAAAGTGTATTGTTGAGTTAAGGATACCAAACATGGTAGTCACTGTCGTGGTGAATGGCCATGAGTCATGGATTCCTCTCTGGTGTTAGAAAATTATGCAATTATAGTATTAAATGCACTCATCATTGTTTATAAATGTTAATTTGCGATCAAGTTATCAATGGTCTTATTTTTATAAACTTCTATAAAATACAGGTTAATACATACATGTTACAGGCATGGTTTTCAATAAAGAACGTCAAAATAATGTGTTAGGCACACCTCTAGTCTAGTAGCTACTGTGAATTAATAATTCTCTCTAAATTATATAACGAAACGATAACGATTTTCATTTCATTTAACAACATCCATTTTTCATTTGTTGTTACGCAATTTCAACAATTACTTTTACATATTATTCCACCAACCCTTGTTATTAATACTTAAACATAAGATCAAGCTACAAATGGATTAGCATTATGTTGTTGGTTTAATATGTTCTTATCATTCGTAATTACTAATTTTATCTTCATATGTGACCCGTGATCATTCTGGGTCTCGGTATTGTATGTCATTGGTCCGGTGTTGTGACTTGCTCGATTACAAATACCTAGCTATCGTTAAATCGTAGGGTAACTTGAAACAATCATTTCAGCGTGAAATCGAAAATCTAACAATGATGTTCTAGAACGCCTCCATGTTGCAGCGCATTTTATTTAGACACTAATACACTTAGGCATCGTTATGGTTAATGGCAAATGCAGTTTGATAAACAAAATTGTTAGCTTTAAAGAGATCTGTTTACACAGCAGGGTATTGTTGTAGAACAAACCTTGTAATAATATAACCACTACACACCCGTGTCTAAAAATGTAGTTTTCAACTAGGTATTTACCTCGACACGGTGTTAACAGCAACATCAACGTCGAAGAAGATGTCGACTAGATCGTCCACTTCCGAATCCGGTGTAAGCGAGGGTGGCAATGTGGCCGGAGGAGAAGCGGCCACATTGACCGAATGAACCCCGCAATTGAAAAGCACAGGTTCTGTTTGTACCATGGGCAGCATGGCTAAGACACACTCAAACGTTCACTGCCACTATTTATTAAAGGAATATATCCCAGGATTAATTTTAAATAGCACAATACGTATCCGCATCCAAACATACACTGCATTGCGCCACGACCGCCGCGACGCAATTTTTTAATACTATGAAGGTTTCTAAATTCACACTCTTTATTCAACTACAAAACTAATTAACCGAAAACTGCTAGTTTGTATTACGTCTCGTTTAATTTTAATATTGACTGACTATAACATGCAGTAACTTTATTACGTAGTGATAGTGCAATTTCCTATCGATATCCGTGCGAAACGTTCGCTACAAAACGACGATGAAAGTCAACTGAAAGGCGAGACGTAGATATACACACATCCTTTTCGTTCGCCGCTTTACAAATTATCAACACGGCGGGCAGCGCGGCGCGACACGACGCAGAACGTCGACAGCGACGACGGTGACGACGACAGCGATGGCTAAGAGCAAGAGCGTGAGAAGGTGGACTGATGGACTGAACAGTATCGCTATTATAGTCACACCAACGTCACTCCTAACTCAACCGAGTCTGCGATCTCGCTCGCCGACACGAATAGCTTGAACTTGCCGAATAAAGCCGAGTACCTACGATTTAGTACGACGTATAAATACATAACAAAAAATTGTTTGCTATTTCATTAGCCATCTATTTGTTGCGAAACACGACCGAAATATAATAAACAATCAACGCCAAGGTATCTATAGGCCAATGTTTCGATAACTTTATAAACGACAAATGCGGTAAAATTGTACATTAACTTGTAAATTGTAACAACTACAAATACATACTTACTTCAATTTAAAATATGCACATACTCAACTAGGTATATATTATTTGATACCGAGATCTTGAAGGCGTTGCGTAAACAAGTTTTTTTTTCTTCATAAAAAAGTAAAATGCTTTAAAACGTTACGTATAATTTTAAACTAAGTATACTCGTAGAAACTACCAACAAAATAAATAACATGTGTTGTATTATGCTGCATATAACATTGTGTTAATTGGAATTTATTTCTAAATAACAAACGTTATTGAATTTTGTTAATTGGATAAAGTTCGACATTAAACAAATGGCTAAATCGCGCGACATACAGCGATACGTTGTAAGCCGTGACGTAGGCACTCGTACCTACATGAAAGTGAAATGGAACAGTATTTGTGTCAAGTGCACAATTTAGATAACAAGGTCATCCATTGCATAACTCAATCGCATGATTTTTATTTTACTCTACAATCTACGATAGATCCTAAGTTAAGTTGGAAGCATTTTTTGTAGTAACTCAATGTAGATAGTAATTAAATGTTAAAAAACCATCAATCCTTTGGTTGGTGAAGTATAATTCCATTCCGATCCCCCAAGCTAAATGAAAATATTTATGTTAAAAATATTAAACGGTGATAACCATAGATGATAATAAAGCTTGTGGATCATAATTAAGAGTATGCTATTTAATACTCTATGGGTCTAAAACCATTTTTGTGGTGGTCATGAATTATTCGGAGTTGAATTCATTGAAATACGAATTTATAGGTAAAAGAGTAAAGGGGCAGTAGAGGAAGAGCGCGGCGCGTGCAGATATCGGTGCAGGCGGCCCCGCAGATCTATGTCAGTGGGTCACGGCAATGACGTGGCACACGGCCGCCGCGACTCGCGCCGCGCACTTCATTCTAATTCCGCTTCACCGGTATCTTCGTGTTGACTAGAGGGCTATTTATTTATTTACTCATGTATTACTGCGTTAATCTGACGCATTCATTAAAATCATATTTAGGAATCGTATTTCAGATTGGCTGATGAGATAAACTCGAGAATACAGCATTTTCAATTAAAATGGATGCACTAAATACCAGGAGGTCTACTTTGTGCTGACATTGACCGACTGAAATGATTCACGTGAGAATGAGAAATACAAGTTGATTAATTCACAATTCGGTTTATAGGCGGGATTTTCCTATTGACCCGTTTCCAGGTATATTTACTGTAATGGGATCGCCCTTCTGATATTAGTAGAACTATTGCGTATGGTGACGATAGAAACAACAAAATATGTTAACGAACATGCTTTTGCATTTTTAACTATTAAGTACAGCAATAGGGGTTTTGCGTTAAAACAAAATAGCTAGGGATATATGAATCTCCTTGAAAATCAACCGACAACAACAGTCACTTCAAGTTCAGTCGCACATAATAAGTATATTGTTTTTTGAAAATAACTCATTTTAATATAAATTTCCACTCAGGCTGGACCAAACTGAATAAGCGATATTTAGACCAACTGCATTATCAAATCAACAGACGTCGTAGAACTTATGAAACGGAAAATAAGTGCATTTCATTCACTCAAAAACAACTCCTAAATCTACGTATTGTATTAAAATAATCAGGGCTTTACTTTGTATATTATATAGCATTATGACAAACGATAAATTCTTAAAAGTATAGTTTTTGACATATCGATAAGTCTTGATTTTGAGTAGGTAGTTGCAACGAATCATGTTTCGCTTAAATCTACAATTGTCTCCTATGCAAGTGTATTAAAATGAGCAAAAAACAAATTTAAGGGGACCTTTCTTATTTTATTTTAAAGCGGTAGCAAGTAATGAGTAGTCAGACTACTTAAATTATTAGCTTTAAGAGGCATTGACGAATGGTGACAACAGAGACGAGATAAAAATAATGATTTCAGTTGCACACATAAGAAGTTACACAAGTAAAAAGTTTCTTGAAAATTCCATTGTAAAGTGTGATTATATTTTCCAGGAGCAAAGTATTAGTATACCACTTGGCTTTTTATCCGTGCAATAATTGGTTTACTATTTATTAAATCCAATTTAAGCCCTGATAAAAAAAAACTTATGAAACCATAAATTTTCCCCCTCAATGAGAGGTCATTCTTTTATTACGAGACGAGTATACTTTACAAGTTGTCGGGAAGATAATTTTCTAAACTTTTTTGTGTAGGTTGATCTTCAACTAAAAGCACAACTTTACTCATCAGACTCAGATATCTTTACAGTCTGTTAACTTTTAACGAAACTCAGCCAATAGTGTTTACAAGAAATGATGAGCTTCAATCTCGGGGGAGCGAGATAATCTCATCAAATGAAACAACTAATGAGAATATAAATGGCGTTCTTTATTGGTTGGGGACCGGGTGGACTATCGTGACGTCCCCGTTGCATAGTCAATCATATACGTCTACACCTCACTATATTATATTAATCATTCACCAGCGATATATGTTTTTTAAACATTAATCTGTATTTTAAATCAAGTATGCACTACCTTTTTACCCGATAGCCAACTGTCTCACTGAAAAGCAGTCTACAAGGAGTAATGCGCCAAACTTAGTTCGTATTACCGATGTAACTCTACTAACCCTTTGTTCCACTACTCGTACTTTAGTCAAATTGTTAAACCCATTTTCATAATGTGGTGTAATGATAAAAAAATGTGAAGACGAATGACGTTTTTATCGTCATGCCAGCTAGCTACCTTGATTTCATACGACTTGTTTCGTAATCGTTATGACTATGAGTAATATAAAACGAGATTGAAATAAATAGATAAAATTTAGAGATAAATCAGCTAATTCGTTTTCGGGATTTTAGATATGGAGTGGTGTTTTCAAGTTCAAAGCATCATCAGTGTCGGAGGATTTGATTGACGCAATATTTTTTTTATCAATAATCATTGTCTTTTTGTATAAATGTGTACTCAGTCCCTATTTGTCCGTTGCTTCTTTAGATAGCTGTGAGTCTAGCAGGCTCATGTGTAAACTTGTAGTATAAAGACTGAGGTGTCCGCAAAGAATCCCCGCAAATGCGTTGCGTCACGTGGGCGGGCAGATCGATTGGGTGAGCGGGAATGTTGGCGCTTGCGCGAACCCCATCTTATTTATCGACCGCCAACTTTTAACTGAACGCTTTTGGGGCAGGTTAGGCCTATGCTCTGGGGTCAAGGTCACGCGCCTCACCACTGAAATATTACCTATAGTACTCAAACTAGATAGAAATGTTAAAAAATCTTGCGAAGAGAAGCATTACTTCATCAATATCTTTTAAAAGGTGCTAGCTTGTAAAATCCTCACAAAATATTGGTGATTACTTAAGAGGATCACGATGACAAAACACATTCTTGCCGATGCAAAATTTGATGAACGTTATTTCAATTTTATACGAAATAAACCAATACAAAAAATAGCATCATCAACACGCTTGTGATTAGAACAAGCTTCCTTTAGCATCCGTGCGTAGCTTCTACATGGCCAATAGAACTGCATCGTCATGCTTGACGATTATTTCAACTTATTCACAATGATTGCGAATTTGCGATATCTCGTATCCATGACCAAGCAGGTGATGCATAGAGAGTTCTAAAGGTGATGGTGAGTAAAATTATCGAATTTTAAGGGATATGATTAACCCACGGTTAAAGATGTATGATTGAATAATTTTACCGAAGCATGTTTAAAACGTTTAAACAGTAACAAAATTAAAGTACCTTCGTAAATAGAAAGTTTTCTAATCTTCAATTTGTATTTTAAACGTGATACGAACAAAGCAGGACCAATGCCAAGATCAGGAAAAACCGGCGAAGCGTTGCCAGTACCTACATGTTGCGTTACGTTTATTGTGTAAGTTACGTCGCCAAGTTACGAAGAACAAGCGATGTTATCGTAGAGCTTGAGAGTCGAGACGTAAAAATATTTTTATCTCTACGTCCAGTGCTTAAACTGGTCGTTCTAATTCCAGTCACCAAGTTTATAGTAGCGAATGTAACTTGATTTTCAGTTAAAATAATAAGTTAAAAATAATAATTATGAGGTAATTATTCGATAGCATTTGCTTAAACAGGTTTTTAAAAACATTCTTGCTCAGACAGTATATGTATTTCCAATCTTTTATATTTTAAAAGGTGTAATTTGGAAGTGGATTCAATAGATTTATTTGCCATCAATTTTGGTTTTCGTATTATTAGAAACTAAGTATTTTGTTATTTGGGGTTCAAATCACAACTAATTGAATTAACTTCTTTTTTTCATGAAAGCACGAAAGGAAAATCATAAGTGCGCGTTGACCGCAGCAAAAGTCGACGCGCAGTGGCGGCGGCGGCGGTGGCGGCGCAGGCTTCCTTCGCCCGGGATTGATCGTCCCCGTACCTACTTCGCATGTGAAGTCTCTGGTGTCGTCATGGAGACCGTCTGCCGCTATCGCCGTCGTAGCGTCGCCATGAGAACCGTGCTGATTCAATAGCTCAAATTTTCACAACATACAAATAAACTTAACTTGCCGTCGGACTACTTATAAATCACATTATAATAAACTTGCCTCTGGTAGCGGCTTGACCCATTGATCCAGGGTAAAAAGCTGCCAATCTGTTATTCTAGACCATAACCTTTTTGTGTGCCAAATTTCGTTAAGGCCCGGTCAGTTTTCACGTGAAAGTATCATATTAAAAAAC